CAGTGAGGGTTCCCTGCCCTGTAGGAAGTCCAAGAACCTCCCACCTCCTTCCAGGTCTAGTAAGGTGAGCATCCAAACTGCCTAGGCTCCCACAAAGCCAGTAAGTGCAGAAGGATCAAAACCCATTGCCATTGTTCTTGACTTCTCAGCAGTCCTCATTGTCTGCTATGTTCAGCGAGTCCGGTTTTATCCCATGCTTATTCAGACCCAGTCCATCTGGCCTTGGTGAGTTTCCGATAGATCATCCTCATTGTCTCAGTATGTGGGTGCACCCCTCGCGGTCCTGAGTTCCTTGCTCGTGCTCTCTCTTCTTCTGCTCCTGATTTGGACCTTAGGATTTCGGTCCGGTGCTCCAATGTGGGTCTCTGTCTCTGTCTCCTTTCATTGCCTGATGAAGGTTAATATTCAGGAGGATGACGATATGTTTTTCTTTGGGTTCACCCTCTTATTTAGCTTCTCCAGGATCACGAATTATAGGCTCAATGTCCTTTATTAATGGCTAGAAGCCAATTATGAGTGAGTACATCCCATGTTTCTCTTTTTGGGTCTGGCTTACCTCACTCAGGATAGTGTTTTCTATTTCCATCCATTTGCATGCAAAATTCAAGAAGTCATTGTTTTTTACTGCTGAGTAGTACTCTAATATGTATATATTCCATACTTTCTTCATCCATTCTTCAATTGAAGGGCATCTAGGTTGTTTCCAGGTTCTGGCTATTACAAACAATGCTGCTATGAACATAGTTGAGCACATACTTTTGTTGTATGATAGGGCATTTCTTGGGTATATTCCCAAGAGTGGTGTTGCTGGGTCCAGGAATAGGTTGATCCCGAATTTTCTGAGAAACCGCCACACTGCTTTCCAAAGTAATTGCACAAGTTTGCATTCCCACCAGCAATGGATGAGTGTACCCCTTTCTCCACAACCTCTCCAGCAAAGGCTATCCTTGGTGTTTTTGATTTTAGCCATTCTGACAGGTGTAAGATGGTATCTTAAAGTTGTCTTGATTTGCATTTCCCTAATTGCTAAGGAAGTTGAGCATGACCTTAAGTGTCTTTTGGCCATTTGAACTTCTTCTATTGAGAATACTCTGTTCAGCTCAGTGCCCCATTTTATAATTGGATTGTTCTTTATATATTTTGGAGATCAGACCTTTGTCTGTTGCGGGGTTGGTGAAGATCTTCTCCCAGTCAGTGGGTTGCCTTTTTGTCTTAGTGACAGTGTCCTTTGCTTTACAGAAGCTTCTCAGTTTCAGGAGGTCCCATTTATTCAGTGCGGCCCTTAATGTCTGTGCTGCTGGGGTTATACGTAGGAAGTGGTCTCCTGTGCCCAAGTGTTGTAGAGTACTTCCCACTTTCTCTTCTATCAGGTTCAATGTGTTCGGACTGATATTGAGGTCTTTAATCCATTTGGACTTGAGTTTTGTGCATGGTGATAGATATGGATCTATTTTCATTCTTCTACAGATTGACATCCCAGTTATGCCAGCACAATTTGTGCTGTATTTTAAACATACAGTTTGTAATCTATTTACTATCTACAGAATATAAGGAGTATCTGTTCTTTATATAAAGAAAAAACATGGACTCAAATAAAGAATGAACACTATTGTGATCATGAATGACCATGTGTGTGTCATGTACCTATCTGCCCAGGACCATGTGTGTGCTATGTGTCTGTCTAGACCATGTGTGTGCTATGTATCTGCCCAGGACCGTGTGTGTGTGCTATGTATGTGTCTAGGACCATGTGTATGCTATATATCTGTCCAGGGAAGGTAGCAAAAAAGTTTGATTTGACGAAAGTCACTTTCAAGAATTTGTTCTTCGGCATGAGTTAATACTTAGCCGTCAAGTTCCAAGCAAGAAGAGTGACTTTCCTCCTCTCTGGTGCCTTCAAAGTCTGTTCTCTAGCTCATATAAACACAGACTTTGCCTTTGCCTAGCACCCTATTCTGATAGGTATTCTTATCCTGAATTGGCAAATATTTAGATCTGTCACCTTTTGATAAAAAATTACTGTGTTTACAAAGTCTATTTGTTTAAAAAAGAAAAAAACAGACAAGCCTACCACAAACGAAAGTGTCCACCCACTGAAATCAGCTGGGTAATAATGCAGCCAACTGCACTCAGCTGATAACAAGCTCATGACTGGTGGTTTCATTACACTCAAAGGTCTTTCTTCCCAGGTTTCTTTGAGTATAAATACAGCCTAGCCCGAGTTCCTTTCAAACTTAGAGCAAACTCTTTATCTTTAATCATTCTTAACAACTAAACAGTTAAATCATGGCTCAACGGCCTGAATTTGATCCTTGGAATTTCCCTTAAAATGTTTTTTTCTGTTGTTGTTGTTATTCTTCCTTGAACAGAATTTCCCTGAGAGAAATGAAGACTAAGCAAATAATCCACATGTTATTTTGGAATATCTAATTTGGTAAGAAAAATGACCGAGTGTATTAATAGTTAAACTTTTTCAAAATGGAACTATTTAATTCTTAGAAAGATAATGAGAGAAAAATAAAGACAAGATATGGCCAGCAGAATGAGTGACATCAGAACTTTACCCCGACATTTTATTTGATTTAGGAGTGACAACCCATGTGGCATTTCATATCTGATAATGATTTCCCATGTCTGCACAGGTGGCATCTCAGTGTGACACAGGACATCTGGCACGTGGAGCCAACAGCAACAGAAGCTCATGAGTGTCTGCAGGAACACAGGCAGACTTGAAGAGCCAAGATAATTGCACTGTGAAAAGGGGAGTATGAAGTAGGTTTTAGTTGTTGGTAAAATATTGGTCTAACGTATACTTAGCTATAAACACAAATTTATGTGTATACTATAGGTCCCTGGTTAGTGCTGAATACTGGGAGTGCAAATAATCTTTGTTTTTCTCTTGTATTTTCTGAATTTTCATAGCCAATCTTGATTTAATGGTGAGAGTCAGTTCTCTCTCCTGTTGAGATTTGCTGTCTCTTCTCACTCTATAAATGTAACATCGCCATTCTGTATTTGCAACCAAGTGGAAGGAATTCAGACTCATTTGATATGGTGTCTGGAGGGTGCTGGGATTGAGTGAAGGCCATGGGAAAAAAAAGAAAAGGTCCATTCTTTTCTAGAAGAATTTTTAATAGCCCCTGAAGGTTTATATAACAATCTGGCAAGCCCCCCAATTGCTTTATTTACAACATCTGTTATCGCTGGTGGTCATAAACATTGCTTTTTTTTTTTTTTTTCAAGAGAAAGAGAGAAGTATGCAGCGCTTGCTGGTTAATTCACATAACTAAAAGCCTTGAAAATCTCCTGGAACAGATAAAGCCTATCAAAGTCGCTTGAGTGGGAAGGAAGGGAAACGTGTGCTTTTCACAAGTAAATGTTCTTCATTTCCAAAAGCATTTTCAGTGGCTGGAGCAGTGTCTGAATTGTAGACACAGCAAATCTTCTAGTTGAGAAGATTTACAGGATCCTGTCCGATGGTGGTGGTGGGGGGCAGTGATTGACACTGGCAGTCACAGCAGTTTGTCCTAAGCACTCGGTTACCTTCAAGGCCATTGCTGGGGTCAAGGGCAGCTGGATGAGGTATGGGTATGAGCAGATCAGTAATGGTGCAAGGAAACAGCCACAGAACTGACTAGAAACTGTTGACAACTTTCCAGAGCCTGGAAGTGAAGGCCATGCTGAATGAGGACCCTGTTATCACGCTAGCTTGGATGTTGGCATTGCCAAGATGAGAGGGCTGGGTGACGTTAGTTAGACACATGTCCTGATTCTCAGAAACATGTGGAAGCTATGAGTACAATCAGTGCCCAAATTCCAACAGGACACTTGCAGTACCAGAAACACAGCAAGATAGTGCCTACATCTGACTGCTGAGACAGAGAAAGTGCTCTAATCCCAGAACTCGGGAAGTAGAGGCAGATGGGTCTTTGTGAGTTTGAGACCAGCCTGGTCTACAGAGCGAGTTCCAGACAGCCAGGGCTACACAGAATGCTGGCCCTTAATACTTTTAAGAATCACTCAAAGAGCTGGTTGAGTGAGGCAGATATCCCTAGACCCCCACATCCAAACATTTGGATTTAGTTAGTCTAGAGTATGAAAAGAATTTGCATTTTGAACAAGTTCCAGATATTAATAGTGCCAGTATGTGGATCACACTTTGAGGATGGCCCACTCCCTGTACGGTCTCTATCACTTGAGACAGTCGTATGGGTCCCTCAGCCAGTTTCTCTGTGAAATGAGTTCCTATCTTATATGCTTTGTGGAGGACTTAGAGGGAAGCCATGTAGGAAGAGAAGAAGCCTGGGGGCAAGCTCAATAGCAAAATACTATGTTTAAAAAATGTTTTATACAGTGCTCTGTCTTGCTCTCCAGATTAAAAACCAGAGCTCCAAGAGATTAAGTAAGGGTTTGATAATCCCAGAATGAATGAGCAGGGAAGCCAAGATGTTAACCCCTGGGTGCCAGGTTACCTCAGAGCATGAGGTTGAGATGTCCTGGGACATCTCGCAAACGTTGAACACTATCACTCAGTCTAAAACACCATGATCTTCATGTAGGAAACCAATGTTTTAAGCAAGTGTGAGAAGCACACATATCTGATGAAGTTTGTGCCCCACTTCTGCCCAAGGCAGAGAACATTATCAAAAGTCCTGAATTATCAAAAGTGAGAAGTCAAGGCCATGCTGAATGAGAAGATGTTGTAACCCTATCCGGGATGCTGGCATTGCCCTGGCCCTGGCCAAGATGAGAGGACTGGGTGACGTTAGACATATGGTCTTGCTTCTCAGAAGCATAGGGAGGCCATGAGTACGAACACAGTGCCCAGCTTCCAACAGGACACTTGGGGTAACAGAGATGCAGCAAGATAGCGCCTACCTCTGACTGCTGAGACAGAGAAAGTTCTTTAACTTTTGCTTTAATAAAACGCACAACTATGCATTTTTAAAAGAACAAAACAAACCCTCTTCCCCAGTAGTAGAATGTGATTTTTTTTCTGCAAAGTAGCCACAAGGGCAATGACACTTAACCCTGCTTTAGCTGTATTTCTACATCAGAAATCAAGGGAAAGGATTTCTTCTCACAGCCTCAGTAAGCATGTTCTTTGGGAAATTGAACACCAGGAGGAACCCAGATCCTTGAAACGGTCTCCTCGAAGCAGATCTGAAAGAAATAAAAGTCAGGAAGAAAAAAAAGGATGACATGCATAAAATTCCAATTAATACTTACATGATAGCAAAAGCCTGCTTTAAATTTTACCAAACTAACAGTTTCGTAGACTTACTATGCTTATTATCGTGCTATATATTATATATACTAAATATCATAATATATTATATTATCTATATTGTTATATACTTACTATTGTGCTTCATTTCCACAGAACCTACTTAAGACCCTAGAGTGTGATTGTTCTGCCCGGGTTTGCCGTTACTGTTATGAATCACTATGGTTACTCGGTCCATAGTGGCACTCACAGGCTGGTTCAGAACTAATATTTTCCTGACGAGGAAATAAGAAATATTCCTTCAGGTGTGTGTGTGTGTGTGTGTGTGTGTGTGTGTGTGTATTAGAAAAAGTACTTGAGGTTAAGAGAAATATCCTGGCGATAAAAGTTTCACTAAATATGAAAAATGGGCTATTTACAAAGAAGTCAATTTGGGTTTTCTGTTTGTTTGTTTATTTTCATTGTTTATAAATTGGCGTACATCTACTGGAAGAAACTTTGGAGATTTCAAAATCACAGCTGACTGATTTCAACCCAACATAGCCAAACTATAGACCCAAAGTTATAGTAGGAAATGACACGTGTCCTCTTTCAACCCTGTTTTCAACGCACTAACATCCGATTGGCGCACACATTGACTGGCACTGGAGGATGGAGCCAAGAAGACTGAGGTGAGTCTGGGCGGCAAGGTGAGGCTCTCTTAGAACAAAACAGAGGCGAAAGAAGATGGCTAAGCGTTTAGTTGTCTCAGGGAATAGTGCCTACCAAGTTTATTTCTAGCCGTACGTCTCTACTGTTTCCTGATAACTCCCTGAGTATTGAATAGCCTCTTTTCCCATTACATTTCCTCAGGACAGCTCTACCTTATTCGCAGTGATAAGACCCAAGCGAATGCTTTAATACAAGGCTGGCTGGTGAACCAAAGGCTGTGGAGATAACTTGGTGGATGTAGGTAAAGCATAAAATAGGACTTGGATTCCCAACCCTCGTGCAAAAGGGCTAGGTGCAGAGGAGCCAGAGACAAGTGGGTTCCTGAAGCTCATTGGTCAGCCAGCCTAGATGAATTGATGAGAACCAGGTTTGGATAGGCTTAGTGGGTAAGAACACTGGCTGAGCTAACGTAAGGACCTGAGTTTGGATCCCAAGAACTTACATACAAAACAGTGTAACTGTGCAATACTATAACCCCAGCACACAGAGAGCAGAGAGAAATGAGGATTTCTGATCTGGACTTTGGTGGCCACCAGCCTAGCTCTAAGTTCAGTGAAAAATCCTGTCTCAAAGATTAAGGCCAAGAGTGAGATCAGAGCCTCCGCATGCCCCCTCCAGCCACCAGACACATACAGGTGCGTGTAATACATACAGAGAAACATGCAGAAATGCAAAGGCAGAGAATGATTAAGGAAGACACCTGATGTGGACCTTCCATGTGCATGTATGTGTGAGTGTGTACACACAGGTAATACACACAATTCAGGGCATACCTAGAAGCATGTCAGGTACAACTATTCCCTCACTTCCATGAAGAAAAAGGAGCTGATAATTTCACTATATAAAAGCTTCATCAGTATCATTTGAGCCTGATGACACATGCTTGTAATCTTAGCATGAAGGAGACAGAGGCAGGAGGATTGTAAATTCCAGACCAGCCTGGGATGCACAGCAAAATCTAATCTCAACAAAATAAAGATAACACAAACAAATAAAAAATATATCAGCTAGTAGCCAGAAAAGTATATAGAAAACAACTGGTCCAATCTTTACTACCAGGTCAACCTATACCCAATCTCTCTCTTTCCCTCTCCCTCCTCACATTCTTCCTCTCTCTGGCCTCTGTATCTCTCTCTGTCCTGCTTGACTTCTGCCCATTGCCTGCCTTGGGCTCTGTGGATCTGACCTTCTCAAGAACATCTATTTTCTGTTGTGCTTCGAAGATTAGCACAGAGTCCCAATCCCAATTCTCCCCACATTACAGGGTCTTGGAAAATTTATATTTCACCTCAACTGTCTCCTATGACTCCTCCCTCTCTCCAAAATCTCATCCAGCTAACAAGTAGCAAGAAGCAACGCCCTCATGTGAGGGACAAGGGATGCTACAGCTGGTGACAAGATTGGGGTTGAATGTTTTGTAGAATCCTGTCATTACGCTAGTTGTTTGTGGTCCTGGGAATCGGGTTCAGAGCCTTGAACATACTAAGCAAGTGTTTTGTTGCTGAGCTACATTGAAAGTCTTTGTTCAAATCCATTAGTGCCATATTATAACTCCAAGTCAAGAGAAAAATGCCATGAAGGGACAATGTTTCAACCCAAACCACAGACTCTTCAGATAGTCTTTGCTATATAATCCCTGGCTCTTTGTTTTCCTCTGGACTTAGAGCATCTTCTTCTAGATCACATTGATATTCTAAAACAGCATATTTCGTCAGAAGAGAATGTCTAGGCCTCTTTCCAGGCTCACTTTGCTTTCGAGGCGAACCCTTTAATTCTGTTTGTTATTGTTTATTAGTGTGGTTTTGTTTGCTTGCTGAAGACAGTTCACTAGCAACAAAAGGTCATAATCAAATTAATTAGCACTTAAGGCTACACCCCCAGGAAGAAATGTTTTAAAGAAATCAAAACAGCAACAGTTTACCCAGGAAAACTCTTATTTAGGCCTCAGTGGGCTTCCCACCTCTACCACCAAGCCCCTTTGTGTCCCTCTTTTGAATTCTAGCTAAAGAACATGGGCATTTACTCTTTGTTGAAGCTTCAAGGGTGATATATCTGTAACCACGTCAACGCTTTCCTTACCCGGAATTCAACAAAGAATTTCTCAAATAGCAAAGTACAATGTGATCTTCATCTGCAGATAGGATTATGTCCTTGATAGCACAGCTCAGGCAGCTGTACTAGCTAAGCCAAATAAAAAACGATTGGTTGTATAAATTTGGCAGAAAGAACTCCACATTCCTTTCTCCAGACGTCTCCAGAGCGTCTAGCTCACGGCTTCGCCGGGTGGTTTCTAGCCACCAAATTTCATTTCAAATCAAAGATGCCCTGGGCAGTAATGCAGTGCCACCTAGCTTCCCTCCCGGGGTTGAGTTCATCCCCAGATGCTCTCGGTCCCTGAAGAAACTGGGTTTCCTTCCATACTATGCCAAGGCCCGCTGGGGCACAAATAGGCAAAGGCAGACACGTCTTCATATCCATCCCTCCAGGGAGAGCTGAGCATCGGGGATTTGCCCTGGCGTTAGGCCAGATGCTCTGCAGGAGAGGCACCTTATCGTGTGCTTGACTTCTCCCATCGTGCATTTCTCCCAAGCACCCACCAACTTATGAACAAATGTCTCTATTTCTGTAAAGTATGTTGTCCTGGCCTAAAATCTCATTGTCCTTCATTCTTCCATATCTTTCTAAACATTGAGGTTCTGTTTCTTTATAAATCTTTTGTAACTACACCAAGCCGTGACACTAAGCTCATGTCTGCATTATGTTTTATTTTCACTCCAATGTTGGATCTTCTGCTACTGTACCTGAGCCAGCCAGCCCCAGGCAAGCACCTGGACTCACCTTCTCATCCTTCAAGACTTTCACACTTTCTACCAGATAAACCATACAGCGGTCCCCATGGCGTTCCTTTAAACTGTGTATGTGTCTAGTCGATGTCCCTCTTGGGCTCCGAGCAGGAGACGCATTCTAGTCTTCTGATTCATAATAAGCATTGAAGTTGTTATTGAATGAATAAAAGATTGAATGAATAAAGCAAAGCTGTTTATTTGGCATTGTTTCTCTATTTAGAACTGGCTGTGTCTGTACACAATGGCAAATGCCCATTTAATCTTTTTTTAATATTTATTTATTTATTTATTTATTTATTTATTTATTTATTATGTATACAATATTCTGTGTGTATGCCTGCAGGCCAGAAGAGGGCACCAGACCCCATTACAGATGGTTGTGAGCCACCATGTGGTTGCTGGGAATTGAACTCAGGACCTTTGGAAGGCAATGCTCTTAACCTCTGAGCCATCTCTCCAGCCCCCTAATCTTTTTTTTTTTTTAATCCCGTAAAAATATGACAACAAAATCCCAGGGAATTTGCTCCCCCACTCAGCCTCTTCTAGCCTCCTGCTTTCGCTGCCACCTGAACTGGCTTCTTATTTCACGGAAAAGGGCAGCGGGGAGCCATGAGGATTTCTGGCAGCCTGGTAGGAAGAGGAAAATTAGGAGAGTTGGATGAGGTTAGCTCTGAAACCTGGAGGGTACTGAAGTGTCACCGCACACAAGGCAGTTGACAAGCATGCCTGTGGCGGCACTGTGGAGCCAGAGACACGGCCTTTAGTGGCCAAAGGCATCAGAGGCAGAGGGAAATATGCCCACATCAATCCCAGGTCCGGACTGTTCTCACGTTAGACAAAGTGTGCTATGGAGTAATCCTTCTGTATGCTGTGAAGATGTATTACTTTCATTGGTTAGTAATAAAGCTGATTTGGCCTATAGCAAGGCATAATAAGGCTAGGCTGGAAAGCCAAACTGAAAATACAAAGAGGAAGAGGGGCGGAGTCAGAGAAAAGAACCAGCCACCAGGGAAGAAAGATGCTAGAGGACAGGTAAAGCCACAGTCGTGCGGCAAAATATAGATTAATAGAAATGAGTCAATTTGACTTGTAAGAGCTAGTGAGTAATAAGTCTGAGCTATAGACTGAACATTCTGTAATTAATATAAGCTTTGGCATGATTATTTGGGACTGGCAGTCAGGACAAAAGAAAAACTTTACCTCCGTTTACAAGAGTGACTGCATAAAATGCCACTCAACTGTTGGCCATCCTCCAGTGACCTCCCCTCCACGTGGTCACAAGGAAAGAGCTGAGGCATGCTAAGATTCCTCTCCTAGCTTCCCCCCCACTCGCCTCACTCCTGACTGCTCTTCCTCACACTATGGATATTATTGATATA